TATGTGTATGTTAGACCAGTTTAATTGTTTATGTAGTATGTTAGACTAGTTTAAGTGTTTATGTAGTTAATAAAACCTTACTTGTATCACACTTGACGTGGTTCATTGTTTGCTCATAACCGGAGTCACTAATCATGCAGATTTACGCTACAAGCTTTGTAGAATTGTACAGTAAGAAAGTTATTTCCCTTAACCAGGAAATTAACGTTCTTAGAATTGACAAGACAGTTGACCCTGAGAGGTCAGCTAAATATCTACAGCGGATCTAAAATATGAATAGTTAATTATAACTAGTTATGGTTAATTATTCATATTTCCTGTCATGAGCTGATTTTCTACAACAGTAAATGCAAAAAGGCCCAAAACAGTCTAAATTCCTTTTCCATTATGTGTATTAAACCATTTTCACTCCATAGTTACAAGCAACAATTTATAAAGCACCAACAAACAACCTCACCCAGGGCTGACAAAAAGAGTAAAATTAAGCAATGAAACAACATCCAGTGGAAATGTGCAAAGGCTTGAATGTGAAATGTCCCATAATCTGTAGATTAGCCAAACCAGTACAGGTCAATGGTTGTAGTTCATGAATAAATCAACTGTCTTATCTGATGATTAGATGATTTCTGTATTTGTAGAAGTCCTTGAAGTAGGGGGCCAGGAACGCTTTGGGTATAATCCTTGAGCATTTGCAATAATGCACTCAAAAGAACTCCACAGTTGTGCATCCACACAGCAACATGGTTGTAAACATGCTAGCCTCATCATGCATTGCGACAATTAATCACAAGAAGAGGCAAAACAAGAAAATCCTCTAGAAAAGAGAACAACCAGTCAGAGTCCATAAACCAAACAAACATGGTATACAAATCATTGCACAATAACCATCATAAACTTTCACCAAGATCCTACAAAATACAACAGTGGGTGACATAAAACATCAAACTTACGGTTGAGCAGCAAACAAAATGTTTCTCAAACCAGGATTGTTTGTAGCACAGCAAGAAACCATGTGGAGTTCAAACTGAGTCTCTCTCTTACTCTACTGCTTCCTTCCTTTATACAGAAATGGTAGAGCTACTAGGGCCACCTAATGGTCCGGAAGAACATAGCACACCAAGATAATACAAAATGAACCTTGTGACAGGCTATGACTGTTACAATGAATAGAAAGAAATTAAAGTAACAATTAAATACAAATCTCTGCATGTGTGGCATTTGCAATAAACATGATAGATAACAGTCCAGGAACAGTGAAAATAATAATGCCGTGTTTAAATGTATTAGGTGTAATATCCAGGCTCCAGTGCAGCAGGTGGCAGTAACTGTTCAGCTCGCTCGAAACCCTCCAGAAAAACCCACGAAGAAAACGAAAACGAAAATGAAAGTAACTGTGGAAAACACGCAGATAGCAAGAGAAAGCGTTGCTCGCTGGATTTGATCCATTCCGTGTCCTAGAAAACATTTTTATAGATACAACTTTAGCACAGGCCTTACTATTTTTAACACTCGCGGACGTTGTTTTTGTATATTTAATCCAATCTGAGCTCTGTAAGTTATTTCATATATTTTGTCATGTTTTGTTCTCATCTTAAAATTGCATTTATCTACATTAATACATAGCAGGTTTAGACACCCCTGATCTATAGTGATTATTAACCATATACCAATTATAATTAAATCATAACACATTTTGTTTAACTTTAAAAAAAAATTTTTTTTCGTTATTAAAGTACAATGCTATTTTATTAGATTTACATGGGTTTTATGTAGAAATTTCTCTTTTCAGCAAAACAAGCTGTTTAGTTAGCTGCAGAAGAAGCACATCATGTTATTATAAAACACATTGTCCCATAGTTATTTTCACTCCAATATGCAGTTCAACTTCTTAAACGTCTGCTATAAAGGAGATATACTCTTGCATAACCTCAATGCATAAATGATTAACCTCCAGATTATCCTCCTCAAGACACTCATCAAGATAACAGAGCAGCACTTTTAAATGTATAACTCATTGCCATTAATGATATAAACCTAAGTTTTATTCAAGCATGCTATTTTGTTTTATCTAGGAAATTTGAATCAATACAATTGTAATATATATGCAGTATATTTACTGTTCATGTAAAAAAAATTATATACATTTATTTTTTGTATTTAACAAATATATTACATGTATCTAACCCTGTGATTCGATTTATTTCTCTTGTAGGTTAAATGACTGTGACTTAACAGACAAAAGCTGTCCAGCTCTGGCTACAGTTCTTGGATCAGATACCAATCTGAAAGAGCTGAATATGAACAATAATAATCTGCAGGATTCAGGAGTGAAGCTGCTCTGCACTGGACTGAAGAATATAAATTGCAAATTAGAGATACTGAGGTAAGTGTTGTGACAATCCTTAGTGCTACCAACTTGTACTTAAACGTAGGAATATGTGTAAATATAAGCACAATTCTGAGCATGCTTATGCAGAGAATCTAGTGGTAGAATAGCGATACTACAAAAAGAAAGTGTTTCCTGTGTCCTTTAATTGCAAATACTCAATTTATGAATTCATAGTTCAAGCTAGACATTTGCATAATTTGTGTAAAATACAATAAAAGACACACTGCAAAAAAGGCTTATCTTACTTAGTATTTTGTCTTGTTTCTAGTCAAAATATTTAAAACTCTTAAATCAAGATGCATTTACTAGATAAGCAAAAAAGACTTAAGATATTTAGTCTTGTTTCCTGGGGGAAAAAATCTAAATGAAGTGAATTTTGCTTAAAACAAGTTTAAAACCCTCTTAAAACAAGCTTATTTGGTAAGACTTTAGAATAGGGAACACTTATTCACTATTAACTACAACTTTTCCCTCAATAAATTCCTAATTTGCTGCTTATTAATAGTTGTATAGGTAAGGTAGTTGTTAAGTTTAGGTATTGGGTAGGATTATAGATGTAGAATAAGGTCATGTAGAATAAAGCATTAATATGTGCTTAATTACTACTAATAAATGGTTAATATTCTAGTAATATGCATGCTAATAAGCAACTAGTTAAGAGACCCCTAAAATAAAGTGTTACCGATTATTTTTCTTACCTCACTGCCAGATAATTTTACTTATTTTAAGCAAAATGCACCTAATTTAGATTTTTTTCCTGTGAAAATGTTTTTTTGCCGTGCAGCTGGGAAGTCATTTTAAACGTAGCTATAGTGTCATGGCTGATCTCACTTTGCTGGAAGATTCGGCAAACCATGTGCTGTGCAGAGAATGTGTTATCAAAGAGCGCGCTGATCTGTTTAGTGAGAGCACAGAATGGCTTCTCAGTCGGTACCGCTGTCTTTGCCATGATTTCGGTGAGGACATTATACATTCACGTGATTTATAAAGGGAGGTGTTGTCACTATATATGGTTTATTGGAGGCGTTTCTGAATGCAAATGACCATGAACGTGAACGAGCATGGTGCTTAAGAACAAGTGGGATTTATCAACAATTATTATTTACTGGTGTACGTAAGAACCATGTACGCACGTTTGATAAATATGTTTTTTATTGTATTTACACACATTCTACAGTCATGGCCAAAAGTTTTGGCAGTGACATACATTTTGTGTTTTGCAAAGTTTGCTGCTTCAGTATTTGTAGATTATTTTCCACATGAGTCTATGGTATACTGAAAAACAATGATAAGCATATCCTAAGTTTTAAAGGCTTTTATTGGCAAAAAAATTATAATGAGTCAATATTTACAATGTTGACCCTTGTTCTTCATAACCTCTGCAATTCGCTCTGGCATGCTGGATATTAGCTTCTGGGCCAAATCCTGACTGATGGCGATCCATTCTTGCCTTAGTTCTTGGAGTTGATCACGATTTGTGGGCTTCTGCTTGTCCACTCGCCTTTTGACCACAGGTTCTCTATGGGATTGAGATCCGGGAAGTTGCCTGGCCACGGATCCAAAATTTCAATGTAATGATCTTCGAGCCACTTCTTTATCACTCTTGCTTTGTGACATGGTGCTCCATCATGCTGGAAAATGCACGGATCATCACCAAATTGCTCATGGATCGTT